ACTACATATCTATTTAGAAAAAAATAACTGCTTTACTTATTTTTAGAAAAGCTGGATGAAAGTGCATTGAAATAAAAATGTATTTACCGACATACCCATGTTACTGGCAACACACGAAACCTTACTGGTATTGATCATCCATTAAAACATTAGGGGGGAAAAAAGGAAGATGTTCTTTAAATTTGGAATTGCATATGGGTATCCATCCACATAGCAATGCTACTGATATAAAACACCATAATAGCATTATCCCAGAAAATTTCATAGTAAAACCTGTTCAATTATCCAAAAAACAATTAGTGACTGCAAACTTTCTGAGATTCAAATAATGCACACATATTATAGAGAGCAAGAGTTATAGTCTGGCATTTAAGGTAACACTAAAATACTTAAATGCAGCTCAACACATGCTGCATATTACTCTGTCAGTGTTTTTATTGTGCAGTTTGTGTACTAAGGGAGGAACATTAAGGGATTTAATCCCCATAGTCATTAAGAAGATATGTATCTTTTACACAAAAGTATCTAATTAAGAGGAAAAAACAAAAAAGGACCTTTGGATAACACACCCACTTTTATACAAATTTTAATGACTTTAGGTTCTTTGACAGAGTTAATTGTCACTCTCAGCTTCTAATCCAGATGGTTGTTTGTTTTAAAGTGCTGGTCTTGAATTATGCAGTTTTCTTTCACACGTGTTTCCCTTCAGGCATCAGTAATAAGAGATAAATTCTCTTATTTATCCTTCTGTAAAAATACATTCCCTACAGTGAAAAAAGAAAAATCTCAAAACATCTATCTACTTCAATACTCATCATTTTTGTGGCTCTCCTCTGGACCTGCTCCAACAGGTCCATATCCTCCTTATGTAGGGTATCCTAGAGTTGGACACAGAACTCCAGGAGGGATCTCATGAGAGCAAAGCAGAGGGAGAGAGTCACCCCACTCAATCCAGTAGTCATGTTACCTTTGATGCAGCCCAGGATACATTTGGCTTTCTGGGCTGGAAGTACACATTGCTGGGTGATGTCCAGCTTCTCATTCATTGATACTCCCAGTACCTTCTCCACTGCTTTCCATCCATTCATTCCCTCAGTGTATATTGATACTGGGCATTGCCTCAAGCCAGGTGCAGAACAATTTTAAACTTCATGATGTTTGTACATGCCAATTTCTCACACCTATTTAGGTCCTCTGGATGGCATCCCTTCCCCTGATTCAACTGAACCACTCAGCTTGGTGACACCCATAAACTTCCTGAAGGTGCACTCAATCCCACTATCTATGTCATTAATATATTATATACTATAGGCCCCAAAACAGACCCCTGGGAGGATACCACTCAGCTCTCTTTAGTTGCAGTCATACAATTCCTTGCCATTTAACAGCCCATCCACCAAATCCAAAACAATTTAGAGGCAAAAGCATTGGAAGGGACAGTACTAAAGGCTTTACAGAAGTGACATCACTTACCTTTCCTTTGTCCCCTGATGCAGTCACTCCATCATAGCCAGCCACTAGGTTATTTGGGCATGATTTGCTCTTGGCAAAGCCATGTCAGCTGTCTCTAACCACCTTCATACAATCACCCCTCATATGCTTTGACATAACTTCCAGCAGGATCTGCTCCACCATCTTGTTGGGCACAAAGGTGAGGCTGACTGGTCAGCAGTTCCCAGGTTCTGGGTATGATAATCCCTTCCCTCCTGAGTGCCTGAGATAGTTACAGGCAGTGTCACTCTAGTCCCTGAATGGTAGTCACAGTCTATCAAGACTTTTCAAATATCATGGAAACATGGCTCTGCTGTTGCAATTGCCAATTCCCTCAGAACCCCAGGATGTTTCTTAGACTAAAAGTAACATCATATGTCTTCCAAATCATCCTTGTATTTCAAATTGCTATGTACCTACTTGATATTATTTTCCCTTCTCTTGCTGCTGTTGGCAAACAGACTCTAATGGGATTTTGATAAGAAAATTTCAAGAGAGGCAAAAAACCAACATAACTCCACAAGTTATCTCATAGATTTAATATTTATTTTATTTTCACAAACATTTTGATGGAGGAGAAAAAAAAAATGTAGGATCAGATGTTGGAAAGATCATAAGGTATAATAGTTCTACGACAGCAAGACATCCTGCAATTAAATCTTTGTGCCCTTGGACTACATTCTCTTCCGGCATATAATGGATGAATACCGGCGGTGGGGTAACACCACGCTGGCAAAGCAGATCTCACACTCCCCTCTAGTGACAGAGCACGACCTCCTGAGGCCTCTCGGCAGCCTGGACTGCTCTGCTGCAACACAGCTGCTCCCAATAGGATCCCACATAATTACCGTTGGGGTTCTTACTTTTATTTTAAAGTAGGATTAACACTAAGATAAAATACCTCATTTTAGACATGAAAGAATTTTTGGTGGGCTACTATATTGCTGGTATATTTGCCCCTTATGCTTATGTATTGTTTTACATCAATTATTATTATGAAACCATATGTGTTTAGTGTACTTAATGTGTGCATTGCAGCATTCATGCACTGAGGTTATCATGCCTGCCCATGTGTCCTTGAATTCTACGCATCTTTTACTAATTCTTTTCCTGCAGTGACCATGCGGTCAGCACAAGCCTGGAATTACCATCATAAAGTGTTCTCTAGATACAATTTTTGTTTGTACATGTACTACCTTAATGCGGTGCCTGAGAAAAAACCAACTCCATAGGTGCTGAAACAGCAGCCTGCTGATACATGATGCTTGGAACATATTTTCTGAGGCATCATTTATCATTGTCATCACAGTGCACAACAACTTATTACAGTAAATTGCTCTTGCATATCACAACCTTAAAAAGACAATGCCAACTCATAATTGTGTTATTAGGAAATTATGATAATCTTAAAATAATTTAAAAAGTAAAACCTATACATACTAATAAGGGAACATAATCATCATAAAAACTATTACCTGCCAGCTTTGTAACTACAGTCATATAGCTAATTACATGTCTGCAGTAAAGGAATACTTTGCTTCCTACAAGCATTTGGGAGTCCTCAAAGCAATCTCAGGTGAGGAGAAACAGCAAGAAACAGATTAACTTTGTAAGCCCTACAATTTGAGAAACACACATCTATCAATTTGTAGAAAGAGGGATGCCACTCTCCTCTCCGAAATCACAGCCTTTGCTTTATGCCTATCACCTGGCAATTTATAGTCCAGGAATTTTGTGGGCAGGTAGAGATTCCAGTACATTGCTAGCATACTAAAATTAGTAAAATATACTGACCTGCTCTAAAGAAGGCAAAGGGAAAAGGATTCAGTAGGACTGGGAATTGTCATTCAGCTAAGTTTCTAAAAAAAGGAACATGTTTCTGACCAGTGGGTTTTAAGCAACTCCCAGAACAGATCCAAACTTGAAAACACAATGTACAAGAAATACCAAAAACAAGCAGCACACAGTAAAAGCAGCAAAGATGGTACTTTCTTACATTCAGGAGATGAGAAGATGCAGAATAAATTAATATCACACAAAGTTTGGTAGCAGACCTGAGGGATAGAATGTAAATGGTGTCTCCCTGATGAGACACATCATTCACAGCTGAAAAAAACCTGGCAGAAAGAAGATAGTTGGGAAAAAAGGTGAAAAAGGCTGGAAGACTTTAGTAATGGTGAAGAGGTCAATTTAAGTTTAACTAGTTAACTTACTGCTTCTGCAGTGGAGTAGAGTGCAGAACATTAAAGTCTTATCATTACCAACTTTTTTCAATGCTACATTTTATTTTGTGATGTAAATCAGAGGCACTAAAAGAAAAGGATGGGAGGATGAGCTGTGTAGAAGGAAAAAAAAAACAAACCAAAACACTAAAGCAAAACGTCTCCAAAAAGCCAAACCAAAACCAAATAACGGCAAAAAAAGCCGTAGCTTTTTCTAGGTCCAAGTTAAAGTCAATGTGTCTTGTCCCACCACTTATATTTTTGAAAAGGTTTCATATTGTGAAGTCAAAATGGGAAATTATCAGCCTACATAATCTCAGTGTAAGGACTGCTAGTAGATTTTCATCAAACTGCCTTATACACTTGAGATAATTGTACTTTTTCCACCACTTCCAAAGTTATTATTTTAATTGTGCCTTTCATGGTTAAACACAATTTATTTGGAACTGTCCTATAAGTGACAATTCTTATATGTTGGCCTAATTACTGACCTGATTCTGTAGATGTAACAATTTAATATCAGAACAACTAGTAAAAGGCAGACTGCATTTAAAAGAGAAAGGAAGGGTAATTGCAGTATAAGTTACTTCTTCAGGAACACTCATGTATCGAATGACAGCTTTGACATCACAGCCATTCTTGCTGCTAATTGCTGTCAATCCTGCTTTTACTGGCGATGCTATGGGAGCGGTACTTTTCCGGCCAGGTTGGTTCCCTCGTCTAGCTTTCCATGATGCTGCAGAAACATTCAGAGCACTACTGACACCAACAATTTGGTGTTATTGCAGCAATAGGCTTTCTTAATTTTTGTTTAAGGTAGGTGCAGTTTGTTAGAGCATTAAAAGTCTGTTAAAAGAGCACTCTGTATGATACAGATGTGAGTGGCAATTTAGAAATCTAGAGAGTCCGACCAAAACAGGAAACAACTGAAGAAAAAGAAGACAAGAGGCCAAACTGCCTAAGGTAGCTTAATAAAAAATCAGTCTGAGGTTTTAATCACAGCTGCCCTGCATGAACTTGTAAGTCACAAAATCGAGGCAACATGGGCCAGACTTTCCGCTAGCCGAGCATTCTACCAATGTCTGCCGCGCCCCGCACTGAGAGCGCAGCCCCTAAGGCACCGTGCCCGACCACCAGGCAGACTCGGGGGCTTCGCCCTTCCCGTCGCGGCCCCAGCCGCCGAGCGGGGCGGGCGGGGCGCTGCGGCTTTAAGGGCGCCCCGCGCCCCGGGCGCGCGCGCGGCCCCGCCCCGCGCAGCGCGGCCGCGCATGGGCGGACGGGGCTCCGCGCTCTTGGCGCGGCGGATGAATCCGGCGCTCGGCAGGCCGCGCCCGCAGCGCGGGGCTCTCGCGGGCCGCTCCCCCCCGCTCCGCCCATGGCCTCCCCGCTGGTAAGGGCTCGGCCCCCGGCGGCGGCTGCGGCAGCCAGGACGGCGGACAGGCGAGCCGCGGCCGGCGGGCATCTCCTGGTGCCGGGGGCTGCCCGGCCGCGGCCGCCGCCTGTGGGAACGCTCCGGCGCCGGCAGCGCTGGCTCCCGCCGCGCGCGGGGCGTTAGCAGCCGCAGGGGCGGGGGAGGGCCGGCGCGGCCGCCCCCGCCGCAGCCTGACGGTGCGCACCCTCTCCCCAGGAGGACCCCGTCCTGATCCGGCCTTTCCGCGGCCACACGGCGGCGGTGACGGGCGTCGCCTTCAACGCGAGCGCGGCGGGGATGGGTGAGTGCGGGGCCGGCCGCCGTTTGCTTTCCGGGCGGGGCAGCCCGCTCCCTCCTCCCTCTTTCCCTCCCCGGAGCCGCCGGGCGGTTCCGGGCGCAGGTCCGGGCGCGGAGGCGGGGCAGGCTCCCGCGCCTTCGGGCGGGCTAAGGAGTCTCTTCCCCTTCCTTAAGCGACAACTTTTTGAGCAAACCACAAGGCTGGAGGAGGGGTTTGTCCCGCGGAGAGAGAGGAGGAGGAGGAGGAAGTAAGCGAGGGGAGCGCCGAGGCCGGAGGGGCAGGGGTGCTCCGTGCCTCCGCTGCTGCCCCTCTCCCCCGCGGTCCCCCTGGAATCTACCGGGCCCACCACGGAGGGCTGGCTGCAAACTCTGCCGGCGTCCCGAGCCCGAGGCTGGGAGTGCCTGCAGCCCCATCCTCCCCGGCGGCGCGGGGAGAGCCGGCAGGACTTCACGGACCCCTCTCTGCTAAGGAGCTGCTTTTAACTATCAAAGATGAGGATTCGTCTGGCGAGAAGATGGACGTGGATCCGCAAAAGCTGCATGTTCCTCGGCTTCTTAATGATTGCTTGCTTTGTGGTCGAGTTGTCGGTCTCTTCCTTCGGTACCTCCCTCACCGGCAAGAGCATCACTAAGGGGAAATGGGAGAGGCGCTTTTCTGACGGGGCAGAAAAAGGTGTCGATGTGGCTCGTCCAGTTTATGACAAACCCCCACCTGATCCTTATGCTCCAGGAGAATGGGGTAAACCCTCTCGCCCCCAGCTGAGTCCTGAGGAACAGAAACAGGAAGAAGAGCTGATTGAGAAGTATGCAATAAATATTTATTTAAGTGATAAAATTTCTCTCCACCGGCACATTGAAGATAATAGACTGAGTGGTTGTAAAGCTAAATCTTACAACTACAGAAGACTGCCCACAACATCTGTTATAATTGCTTTCTACAATGAAGCCTGGTCAACGCTGCTGCGGACGATACATAGTGTTCTTGAAACATCACCTTCGGTGCTTCTGAAAGAAATTATACTGGTGGATGACCTGAGTGATAAAGTGTATTTGAAGGCTGAACTCGAAAAATATATAAGCAGTCTGAAAAGAGTTCGCTTGATAAGAACCAACAAACGAGAAGGTTTGGTTCGTGCACGCTTGATTGGTGCTACCTTTGCTACCGGTGATGTTCTCACATTCCTAGATTGTCACTGTGAATGTGTTTCCGGCTGGCTGGAACCACTGCTCGAGAGGATTGCTGAGAATGAGACTGTTATTGTTTGTCCTGTCATTGATACCATTGACTGGAAAACATTTGAATACTACATGCAAACAGCAGAGCCCATGATTGGGGGGTTTGACTGGCGGCTGACGTTCCAGTGGCACTCAGTGCCTAAACATGAACGTCTCAGGCGCAAGTCAGAAACCGACCCAATCAGATCCCCAACTATGGCTGGTGGCTTGTTTGCTGTCAGCAAAAAGTATTTTGAGTACCTGGGAACCTATGATACAGGAATGGATGTTTGGGGAGGGGAGAACTTAGAATTATCCTTTAGGGTTTGGCAGTGTGGAGGCATGTTGGAAATTCATCCGTGCTCCCACGTGGGCCATGTGTTTCCAAAGCGTGCGCCCTATGCTAGACCAAATTTCCTTCAGAACACGGCACGTGCTGCTGAGGTGTGGATGGATGAGTTCAAAGATCACTTTTACAACAGAAATCCTTCAGCAAGGAAAGAAAACTACGGAGACATTTCTGAAAGAAAGATTCTTAGGGAGCGTTTGAAATGCAAGAGTTTTCACTGGTATTTAAAAAATGTATTTGCTGAGTTGCATGTACCAGAAGATCGTCCTGGCTGGCATGGTGCTATCCGCAGCACAGGAATACCTTCAGAGTGCCTTGACTATGTCTTACAGGAACATAATCCTACCGGGTCTCACCTTTCTCTCTTTGGCTGTCATGGTCAGGGAGGCAACCAATTTTTTGAATATACATCAAATCAGGAGATTAGATTTAACTCTGTAACTGAGCTATGTGCTGAAGTCCCTGAGCGTGAAGACTTCATAGGTATGAGGAGCTGCCCAAAAGATGGATCTCCTATCCCAGAAATTATTATCTGGCACTTCAAAGAAGATGGGACTATTTATCATCCTCATTCGAGGAAGTGCCTTACTGCTTATCGTACAACTGAGGGGCACGCTGATGTGCAAATGAGAACTTGTAATGCTGGAGATAAAAATCAGATTTGGAAATTTGAGAAATAATCACCGCTGGTAGTATGAATTGGATGGACTGTGATCTCGAAGCTTTTTACACGTGTGAGCAGATAGCAACGTTTGATTGAATACCTTGAAATGTTTTCACATCTCTCTCTGTAGTGATGTAGAAATTGTCTACTATGATGGAAAACAAAAGTAAATAGTGGGGTTCAGTTTCTAAAACATGGTTTAGAACATCTAATGCCTTTTATTTTTGTAAAATTTTGATCCATTATTACTTTCCTCCGTCTTGATTATAAAACCAAGGCTTCTGAGTGGACTGAAGAGGGATTTTTTTTTTCATCTTAAAATTATGCAATAATCCTGTGAGATAATGTTCCATGTAAACAAAAAATTTTTACTTACAGAAGTAAAAGTTACGGTTCTTGCAGTGGTATTAGCTGACTATGTTGCAGATACATTATAAAATATGTATCTAATGCCCTAAGTAGCTAGAGTAGCATGTGATTGAATGGACATTGATGTGGAAAGTTGAATCTAAGCCTTGTAATGGTCTGCATTTTTCTGGGAATGTACATGGTGTCAAGGGTACTATATTATCCAGAAGAATAGGAAGTTTATTTACTAGCAGGGCTTTGGCACTGCTTTGCAGTCTTGTCACTATTGTAAAAATCTTACCCCATGGCGCTTAGTCAGGAGCTCTCATGCGTTTAGAGGAGAGTGTGGTAGCAGTGGAACCAAGGACATGCTGGTGATATCAAAAATAGAAGAAACATGGATGGCTACAAGTAAGAATTTTGTTTAAAGGCAATGGAGAAGGAAAGGAACCACAAAATTGCCTTAGCTACTGCTATATCATAGCTATATATTTAATGTATACATTTCCTCTGTGTAAGCTTTTCCATGTTCAGCTCCACATCTTAAGAGACACAAAAGTTATGCGATGTAGACCATGTTGAGGTTTTTTGTTGTTTGTTTGGGATTTTTTTTTCCATTTGGTCTGTCAGCAGGGTAGAGAAAGGTAACATAGAGCAACATTTGGGCTGTTTTATTTTGCATTTTGTGTTTTGACAACAGCTGGCATGGGTCAACCCTAAGAAGAGTTTTGAAATAATACAGCATAAGCTGCCTGTTTCTGGTCAAAACAATACCACTGGAGACCTTGGGCAAGACTAGGAAGCTGCAGCTTCTGACATAAGGGGAGTTGAAAAAACAAAGGAGATCTTGGAGGAAGCTAAGATCTGTTGATGGTTCAAAGAATTACTTATTTAGAATGTTTTCTTTATCTGTTATGCTTTTGAAGAGTACGGATTCTCAAATCACGTCAATAATCTGTTTTAATTGTGATTATAGATGGTAGATGTGATAGATATATGGTGTCATTGGAAAAAAAAAATTTGCATTAGTATCTCTGTTTTACTTTCATAAGATTTAAGTTGAATACTTTTCTTAATGTGTTGGGCATTCCAGCTGTTTTGATTACTCTCACTGAGGTGATAAATGTTCTTCAGTAGCCATAGTGTAGTAAGTCTTTGCATGGGGCTGGTAGGTAGAAACTTAAGCTAGTGAGCATTAGTTATCTGGATACTTGAGGAATGTAGTGGATGTACACTTGCTACGGGTGTTAGTAGGTAGAAGGGTTGAAAAGGGACAAGTGAGACCTGATGTAGTTGAAGTTTTGCCAAAAATAAAGTTAAGAATAAGTTATAACATATTCTTAAATCTTCATGACTTGAAAGCTTTGAGAGGTTTGGGTGGAAGCAGGTTAACGCAGAAGATGAACAGAAGAAAATTTGGAGCTTGGGATGCAGGATTGAACCATGCTAAAAATGCTTGCCACTGTGTGGCCTGGGTTATTTTAATTTATTTTTAGGCAGTTACTTGCAATTTGATTTTTTTCTTTTTTATCTTCTTTTTTTCCCCTAAGTTGTTTTTTTGTTGTATTTTTTTTTGTTTGTTTGTTTGCTTAAAAAAAAAAAAGGGAACTTTTTACTACACAAGGGAAACATTCCTGAAAAATGGCATTCCACTTTGCAGCAGGAATTCTTCTGTATACCTGCAAGTTATGAACCATTTATTGAATTTTAAAAGGCAGCCAGTCATTACATACTGGGGCAATAAATTATATATACTGGGGCAATAAATTATATAAAGTATGTGCTTTTGTGAAAAGCTTTCTGTTGGCTGTTCAATAGAAATGACAGGAAAAAGGCCTAGGTTCTCTTATGTGCAGATCATAAATAGTATGTGCAATGCATGTTTTTTCAGATTAAAGTAATTAAATGATGTGAATACAGACTATGCAAATTTTATACAGTTAATTTTTTAGCACTTGGCAAAAACTGCTTTTTGTATAAAGATATACCTTCCAATTAAACCTGACATTCAAAGTGTTCCTTATCTATTTAAGCAATAATTATAAGTTAATCTGCCTGTGAGTTTGAAAAGTTATTCTATGTATCTGAACCCTTCCTTTTCCCCATGACTTCCCTTTCTATTTTTGGAGTTATTTAGAAACAAACTTGGGAGAAAAAAAAAAAAAAAAAACCTTCCCAATGGGAATAAAAAACATGTGACTAAAAGGAGGAGGGACTAGAGAAATAAAAAACAAACAATACCTTACCATTTCAATACTCCTATCTAATTATTTTTCAGTATGTACAGATTTCTGGAAAATCTGAATAGTTTTCTGTTCTGTTAGACTTTGAAGATTTGGCAAATGCTTGTATATATTTTAAACTACTGACCCTAAGTGACTTAAAAGAAATTGAATGTAAACTTAACACTGAATAAATGTGGAGGGCTTTGGGATTTCTTTTGAAAAAAATAAAATCCAGAAAATTAAATATTGGCTAGCGTGCTGACTCTTCTCAGTTCTTTTCCTCTTGTGTTCATGCATACAGAATGCAACAAAAACTGCCAGTAACTTGATTTTATGGGAATTATTAAAAGTTCTTAGTATTTTATCCACTGTGCTTAGAATTCCAGATTGGCTTTTTTGACAGAGGTTCAATTAATAATAATTTTTCTCCAAGTAGGAAATCTTGCAATTCATTGCAGAATGTGTTTACATTGTGGTGTTGTACTGTATAATTGAGAGCTGCAGGTTTCCTGTAAAGTGTGGGGCTTTGTTGGCAGTGGTAGGGTTTGAATATTCACACACTCATCATGTGCACTCTATTCCATCTGCCCTATAATTCTTGCACTGAGTGATTAATTATATTGGAGATGCTTCAGTATTTTGAGAGATGTACATTGAGCTGTTAAAGCTTGTCTGAGTTTGTTTCTTTTGATCTTTGCACAACTGTCTTAGTCACCACTTTGTTATTGTGGGAAATTAGAGTGAAATGGTAATTCTGTATTATAGCAACTTGTGTTCATATATTTGTGTATGTATATATTAAAATGTATACCATCCATAGTCACAGTTATAAATTGTTTCATTGCAAATACCACAAAATCTTTTTCATAGCAAATGTGAAGCTTAGGTATCTGCTTACACACTACTTTGCTGAAGATCTCTCAGCTTGGCCTTTGCATAAGGCCAAGTCTTTATTTTTTTGGTGTTCAGTTCTGTAATGACTCATCAGCAGAAAAGCAAATTGTCCAGTGATGTGTCTGCTATACATGGGTGTGTATAGAAGTGTATTGATGGTTAAAAAAGAAAAAGCACTCGGGTTATAAACTGGAGTAAGTTGTATATTGGAGTCAGCTCAGCGTGACTTTTCAGCTTTCTACGTGTTTAGTTATGCTTTTCAGTTGATCTTAGCAAAGGCAAATTGTCTTTCACCTCCAAACATGGTTCTGGTTATGTCATGTATTCTCTGAGGAGCAACAGGCCTATTTGTATTATGGTACATCCTAAAAAAATTCTTCTGGAACTTCTGTGCTTTTTTTTGTTTCTGATCCAATATTTTAAGTATTGCATAGGCAGAAGGGAGTCCAAAGGGAAAATAAGGAAGATGGTCACAGATGTCCCACAGGAAGGAGAACTTCAGGTCACTGCTTGTGTCTCATTTACCTTTGGATAGTCCATCTATAAGACGGCAAGCTACAAGAAACCAGGCTGACATCAATGGTGCTGTCATCTTTCTCAGAATATTTCCCTCAGTTTTTGCAACTGAAAGCTGATACTGCACAGGCTTCATGCATTATTCATAAGACACCACAGGTATTTTGTAGTTCATCAATGATTTGTTTTAGAAGCCAGTCAGTCTTGTCTGTTTCACATTTCCAACCCTGTGCCTTCAAAATCTATTTTAGCTTATATTTCATTTTTTCCATTCAGTTTTACTCCACTGTAGATCACTTTCCAGAATCAAAGGGGAAAAGGAATATTTTCAGGTACAATTAGAAAGACCCTGCTGTAAAACAGGGCTTTGAATAGTTGAAGTGGGGGAAAAATATCCTGTATTTCTTTACCAAATATAGGCCTGTTGATATGGACATAGGGATAGTCTGGTCTCGCATCTTTTAGCAGAAGCTAGTCTTTTAAGATTAAAAACAGTATCTTTGTAGAAAATTAATAAAGAGAATTTAATAGTTAATATTTAATATTCTAATATGCTAATATTTTGTTTGATGCTTGCCTGGACATGTGATAATAAGGAAACTCAATTTCTTTGTGCTATGTTGGTGCTTGAAAGAAACTGGATAGAGAAAAGCCATCTTCGTGTACACTTCCAGCTTCCAGGAGGCCCCTCTTCTTTTCTCTACTAGGGTTAGGAATTTGACAACTGGGAGTGTGAATACCTTGTTTTGATTTATGAATATATATTAACATTTAGCAGAGATGAAGATGACAGGGATATAGGAATCACATGTACCAGTTTAATTCAGCTGCTTATTGTCTTTGCTTCTTACAGTTTCCTGAAAATGATCAAGCTCTGGTGAAAGTTAGGTTTGCCTTTTTGACTGTAGCTAATATTGTTCACCTGTAAAGTGACTGCAAAAAACCCACCCTCAAACATGCTGTGTTTTCAGAATGACAACTTTGTTTTCTTTTGAACTAGACAAATATGAATGTTATAAAATTGGTACTTAAATAGGAATTTGGAATTATATATCGATATTGTCACTCAAGTGTAGATAATCTGAAGTGTTAGAAGTCGTGTCTTCAGTTTAAGTTGGCATGTTTTTTTGGAGTTAAACACTTGATACTTGAAACAAGTTCCATCTCGGAGATCAAAATGAGATTACTAAAGAATTTGCCTATTGTTCTTAGGATTTGGTAAAACCAAATCTGTGTTCATAGTTACTGATGTGCATGATGTTCGGCTTTGAATGTTTTGCTCTCTATCGTCAAAGTACTTGCAAGCCAGTTGGTTTATGTGAGAGAGCTACCTGCTAAGAATTGCCCTTTACTTCTCCCAGTCTTGTGACATCCTTCTGAAAGCCCGGTCTTAGCATAACTTGCTACCAGGCTTCTGCTTAGGCTAAGAACCCATTAAAACCTAATTACTCCTCCCTCCCTGTAATACCCATTAAGTTCTCTGGTGAATCCAAATCCATAGTCGTTTGCTTTGACTTTCATAAGCACAGTGAGGAGACTTCTGATGTCTTTTACTTGCAGTTAGCTGCTCTGTGGATACTCTTCTTATATTGTGGAAGCTGAATGCCCAGTGCAGAGCCTACAGATTTTCAGGCCATGCGGAAGCGGTGACAAGTGTAGAGTTCTCACCAGATGGGCAGGTGCTGGCTTCAGCTTCTCATGATCACACTGTCAGGCTATGGATTCCTTGCATGTGAGTATAACTGAGCAATGTTGGATATGTTTCATGATTGTACAATGTGAATGTTGGAGGCTTTACTCAAGTTTCTTTTTCCTTTCCACGTGCCTGGACTTTTACAGAAACGGAGATTGGGGACCACACGCAACACGGTTCTTTATTACTTTATTATTTTCTAAATATTCTGTTGTTTCAAAAGAAAAATATAACAACTCGGAGGTCACAATTTAGGGTGTGTAGAACTATGCTTTGTATATTTCTCTGGTTTAAAGATTATATTTTAATAAGGATTGCATGGCTGTGCTTCATTTTGGGGAGACAAATGATGAAAACAATGGTTTTTTGGAAAAAAATATTTTAATTGACTTGGTTTATCAGACTGTTCTTGAGTAGTAGTAATTATGAATTATTCAGTATGATCTTAGACAGATGTTACTTGAACTTCCAAGTGTTTTCTAGATTACTATATTAAACAAAATCTCTTTCAAATACTAATGAGACTAAAGGCCAATGCTACTACTTAATTGCACTGTTCTGTAAAATTGGTCATGCTAAATGCAACTTAAGGAATGTTATTCTAATAATATTTAAATAAGTCAAAAATAATGGTGACATTAAGAGTTGGCCTCTGTATACTGGTTTTTCATTTGGGTAAGATTCTAAATATGCCAAAATTGAGTTTTATGGGGATTTAAGCTCTTTAATGTAATTGTGATTTGTGACTTGGTATTCAGGGTTTTGTTTCATTTTCTCCCCCCTTAGTCATGGAGAATCATCAGTATTGAAAGGTCATACAGCATCTGTTCGGAGTGTGAGCTTCTCCCATGATGGCTGCTCTGTAGTTTCAGCATCTAATGATAAATTAGTAAAAGTATGGAGTGTTTGCTATCAGCGCCTTTTGTTTACACTGTTCCAACACACTGGTTGGGTTCGCTGTGCCAAGTAAGTGTTGTTTTTATTCTCTTGGTAAAGTAGGATTCCTGACAAAGGGGATTTTATATCCCAGAGTAGAAATAAGACAAGGAATGTCTGTGAATGACAAGTAATGATCTCTCACCAATAATTAAATTTTAATAAATGAATCTTGTGCACACATGTTTTGTGTAGACCTAGCTGAAGTATGAAAGCTTGCTTTATGTTAATATGTGTACGTACTAAATCAGTTGCTGTCTTCGTTCTACTACATTAAAGGACAAATGTGGTCTTATTTATTTTCAGTCAGTGTCCTGTCTTTCCCCAGTTTTGATTGGTTTTTTGTTGTATTAACTTATTTTCCACCACTTATGTCTAGATTTATTATGCATTGTAGGGGTTTTTCTCAACTATTCTTGGAATAGTAGTGGCATTAATGAATGGTCATGAATCCAGATGAAGTACATAATTGGAAAAGATAAAAGAAATGGCCTTCGGACTGCAAGTTGGGGTTCATACTCTATAAAGACAGGACAGCTCTTCAAAGACAAGAACAGATTGTTTGCTGATTTTTAAAAAAAAAAATTCCTTCATATTAGTGGAAAATCTGCAGCTAAGAGAGGCCTGATATAAGCCTCTTGAGAAAGGAGTTTAACACTGGTGAAGTGCAGGCCCCTACGAAGTTTCAAAGTATCTGATTTTTGAAAAGAAAAAGGAAAGATCCAGGAAATCACATATGATAGTTCTTGAACAGTTTTTTTCAATGTCGTTGGGCAGTTGCTCAATAAGTGAAATAATAATGATTGAGGAAGTTAAGTCAATTTTTCTCTTTAAAAACCTGGTCTGCTAGTCTAGGAAGAATTGTGAATGCTTTCCCACTATTTGTAAGTGTAGAAATAACTTGGACAACATAAATATAAGTTAACATTGAACACAAGATTCTGCTGTGTTGTCTTTGTCTTATTACTTATAGTTTTCTATAATAATCTTTGTCATCTGAAGTGACATCCTTAGGTTGCTGATAGCTTTCCCCAATCCCCTCTCTTCCTCTTGCTTATGGCTCTGTTTTTAATTGTAGGTGATTGTGAAATGGGATGGAGTGGAATATGGGGAGAAGCTTTTCTTTTCAGTTTTATTAGTCCATGAGAAATACTAGAAGTATCCTTTTTTTCAAACTGGCTTCCTTGCTTCTGGTGTTTTGCTACTTATGTCTCTAATGCTAATATAGGCAGAATCAGTTCTTAAGTAATGTATACACTTATGTGTTCCAGATTTTCACCCGATGGAAGAATAATAGCATCTTGTGGTGAGGACAAATCTATTAACATCTGGGATACAAGAAATAAAATTTGTGTTAATAGATTCTCAGATTATGAAGAGTAAGTTTTACTAGAAAAAAAAGGAGAAATGTAATAGTGTAATTTTAGTGGCATTAGTTTAATGTTCTGTGGTATTAACATCTACATATGTTAAATCTGAAAATGGAATTCTATAACCCATGTCAAGTAAAATAATTTATATAATATTTTTCCAAAGAGGTTAACTGGCTGCACTTATACAGCTGTTTTTCAGCAATCAAGAGATAATCCAAACAGAAGTAAGATTATTCTTAGATTTTGGAATGTTTCCACATTTTCCCTCAATTTTGTTAATGCTGTTTGATATTGGATGCTTCAACAAGAAAGCTTTAAGACTTTTCTACATGTGGATAAAAATATTTTGTTACCTTCAGTGATCTGCATTATTTAAATTTAGAAAATACTTGCTTTTACTTATATGCAGTTTTCTTAAACATCTTGGATCCAGAGTTTTAGTTAACAAGTCAGTGGAATATTTGTATATGTGCTCTGCTGATTTCATGGCTGCCTTCATCCTTTTTCAAATCCAAGGTGTTGTTACAGCTAGATACTCAGTTGTTAGACAAAATTATTTTATTTGTTGCTTATAAACTCTTTGCAACACTATCTTCCAGGAACTTTGTACTCTAGCACAAACTCTGAAGGTTTGACTTGGATCAATTTTACCGTATTTTCAACCAGAGTGAGATTATGATTTATCATGTACATCTTGTTTTCTTATGCTTATTTCAGTTACTTGAAATGCCTTATTTGAGTTTCCATACTTATAGATTCCACACAAGTTTTTGGCAGCTCAGTGTTAGTATTGTAGTCTTTATATATATATATATATGCACACCTAAATATTTCTGTGGAAACACATTATAAATCTGTTTTCATTAATTATATTTAGATTTCCAACTTTTGTGGATTTCAACCCAAGTGGAACATGTATAGCTTCTGCAGGTTCCAATAGCACAGTGAAACTATGGGATATTCGAACAAACAAGCTACTGCAGCATTTCAAAGGTAAAAACAACATAGTTTGTTTTATTTTCTTTACAGTGGGCTCTTTGCAATTAAATGTGGTAAAGAGTCACACAACTCAACTGGAAAAAGTTGACAAACAAGTCATACTGATATGTTTTAAGTATATTTTTGTAGTGTAGCAACCCCAAGAATCCAGTCTGTATTCATTTTATATCTTTGATTCTCTTAATTTTTTAGAACTGAACTAAGCAAATACTCTGAGTCTTCTATGCCCCAGCACTTTTGTTGTTTTTCCCTTAAATAAAGTAGTTCTTTGGGAAGTAGAAAAGAGCAAAGAAATAAAGTGTACATATCCTCTTAGTAGATATCTACAGCTTTTGAATATTGTCTTCTGTAAATCAGTTCACAGAGCAGAGGTTAATTGTGTATCATTCCATCCTTCTGGTAACTACCTCATCACTGCTTCTTCTGACTGTACCCTTAAGATTCTGGACCTCTTAGGAGAAAGACTTATTTACACTCTTCATGGACACAAGGTATACACAATAATCCTCTTTAAATGGAGATCTTAATAGGTTGTTCAATATCTTTACAAAGGGAAAGTAACATTTATGCCATTGCATTTTTTATCTTGCAACTTGCAGATGAAATTCAGTGGACAGCAAGGTGGTGTGTTAATGCACCTTGTCACTAGTGGTTAAGGAAATGCATCAGTTTTTACCTGTAACCATGCTTTTTACCTGGCAATATTACACACTCGTTAAGTAAAAGCTCACGTTCTAAATTCATTAATAATTCACTTGATTTTCAAAATCATGTTATTTGGTACTTCAGTCCTATTGACTATTGAAAACCAATGTTTTCTAAGGAGGAGGGCGCTTACAGAAAATTACTTTTGTGAAGAATGGCAGGCATTTCCTCCTTTTCCTGTTAATGCCAAACAAATCCTATTTTTGATAATAAATAATTCAAATGTATTGCCTTGAGGAATGTAATATATATTTTGTAATTTTTCATTGCAAAGCTGAAATGTAGAATCTAAGGATAATGCCACTATTTTCCTAGTATAGATTGTTGTAGTTGTAATGTAGCATCTTACTAAAATGTGCAATATTAACTTTTCAATCAAGTTTTGCAGAAATTCCACTACAGTAAAATTGTTCCTTATTGCATTAAAATTGAAAAATTTATTACATTAGGTAATGGCATTGGTGTTTTTCTCTGCACTAAAATGTCATGATTACAGTAATAATCTAATTTTACTGTATGCTATTTTTTTTCCAGGGACCTGTACTTTGTGTGGCTTTTTCAAAAGGTGGTGAAAATTTTGCCTCAGGTGGAGTAGATGCTCAGGTTTGTGGCATTGTCTCCTTAAATTAAATGTCTTAATGTTTCTTATAGTGGATGGGAGTTAAATATAGTTTGTCACAATAACTTGCTAATTACTCACATGCATTCTGTCTACTTCCGTGTTCTGTAGGCTTTCCATTGGATGTTATGATAAGACTAGACACTTCTATTTTACATATTAAAATAAAGGAATGATTTTTAATTAAGAATACTTAAAGTGTTGCAATTCAGTGTCAATGAAGTAGTTGTGTTGCAATTAATATTAAGTTCTACTTGCTTTGTTAAGTTTGCACTGCTTTTAAAGTCCTTACTCTGTAATTGTCGATATTAAGTTGTATTACTGGGACAACTTTGTCTAGAATTGGGAAAAAAACTTCTTGTGTTACCTTTATTAATTTACTTAGATGAAACAGTAAAGTACTGGATTTTATAAAGGGAAGAGGAGTAATTTGAGCATTTTAAAAAAAGTTAAACAGTAAATCTTATGATTAATCTCTATCTGCTGTAATAAATTTCATAATTAAGAACAAATTCTATCAAGCTTGGAATCATCTCTATCAGGTCTATAAAGTTTCCAAAAAGAAAGAAATTTTGTAGCACAAGATTTAAATTTTCAGTCTGAAATGTTCCTTAGTTGTCTTTTCATTTTTTCCAGTTACAAAAACTAAAACCTTGATGTAGATATAAAAAGCTATGCTATTGAAATGAAGATCTTTTGAGTTTACCATATTTCATGGCTGTATTCTGTTTTGTGTAGTTTGAAATAAATTTCAGCTAGTAGCAGGGATTGTCTTGGGAAATAAAAAAAAATTGCTTTCTATCACAAAGTGTTAAGTAAGAAGTACTACCAAGACTTAAAGTTATTGGAAAAGTGAAAATGTTATGAAACATCCAATATTAATTTTATAAGCAGGGAAAAAAAATCCACAAAAACCAACCAAGAATGGGGGAAAGATATTTATTTCTTGACCCACTAGTATGATCTTTGATTTTCCGTACTGAAATAAGATTTTAAGTCCCAAAATGCAGCTTAGTCCTACGTGATTCTGAATTGTTGACCTTACCTTCTAGGACTATTTTATTTTGGGTTTTATGACTGTTGGTACATTATACTTAAGAGGAACAAAAGTGCATGTCTTCACATGACAGAAGATTAATCTGAGAAGCTCTGATGAAGGCAAAGACTTACAGTATTAAGCCTAACACAGCCTACCCATTGAATGCCAACACACCTTGGGAATGCCTGTCTTACTTCAAAGTCCTTTGAATTTGGGGTACCCTGAATGACATGTGTGTTCAGTGCAGTCATGTCATTGTCTTTTTACTGCCTTGATTTTCTGTTGTAAAGCTTCTGGGGCATGAGAGCATGGAGAAAGTAGGTAAAAATCTGTCTCATGTTCCTCAGCAGTTAGATATAGTGGTTCATACTGAATATATGAGAGGGAAGATCAAGTTTCATCAGGAAACACTTCCTTAGTTAAATGCTAAATTTAAAAAGTAGTCATAGAAGATCTAATAACTGTTTAAATTACTTTAAAAATGGGCCTTCCTGTGTTAAAGTTTTTCACTTTGTTTTGTGAAAATTTTGGTGGGAGAGGAGTATTTACTTTGCTACAACTTTCACTTTTCTAAGTTTTAAAATGTGCTAACCACTGTTGGGTAACTACCAAGGTGTATATCTTTATCTATAGTAAACATAAGAACTTTATTCTTTAGTATCCATTTTCTTTTGGTGTATACACTCATACTTTTCAAATATCCTGTTTTGCTGACCCATGCACAGCGTTCTTCCAGGTGTGCCAGGAGGATAGTTGTGGGACTTCTTCTCAACTCACTGTGATTTTTGGTTTACTGTAATTGTAGGATGTATTTGTTGGAAAAGTTCTGCTGGCAATGTCATGCTTATGAGCAGAGACTGGCCATAAAGTTATCATCTTCTACTCCTCATGCAGTATGCAAAATATATTGTCCATTCACAGTATGTGCTGGAGGCAGCTGATGTACTATTAAGTTTATGGAAGACTGCTTCCTTCATACATATATTATTTCAAGAAGTTTTCAATCAACAGACCATTCCATACCTTTCCATCAAAGAAGGAAAACCAGTATCTCTGCTTTTTGTATCAAGTTTCTGGTTGGTGCAGAACCAGCTGACAGCATTGTTTAGAAGCAGGTTAAATATTTGAAACAAACACTGGATACATTTATTTATTTATTTTTGCTTCTTTCCTCAAACAAAAAAGATCTCAAAGTGTAATGTTCTGTCTGTCATGTTCCTCACATTTCTGGCTGTATGTGCACATTACAATTTATTTCATTAACCTGTTGTCATGGAAAACATAAGACCTTTTATGTGAAAGAGCAAAGTTATACCTATTTGTTTGGAAAGTAGTAGCCTATATGGCTACTACTTATATTCATAAGACTGGATAGAATACCTCTGGACTACCTCTGTATCTCATGACCTTCTGCATTTGGTCATTGTGTGACTTAATATATGGTTTCTACCTAGAACATAACTAGAAAAAGCTCAGAAAAGAGATTCCTGTTGCTAAAACATTGGAACCAGGTGTTTTAGAGTTCTGTGGAAATTTCTTATTTCTCTTATTCCTTCAAACATTCTTGTTAGACCTGCAAACCTTTATAGGGGGCAAAAATTTAACAGTATATGATCCCTTAATCTGGCAGACAAGTAACTTGGGATAGTTCAGTGGGACAGGAGTTTGCTTTGTTTTGTGATTATAGACATGCTTAGAGGTTACTTTTTTAATAGATTGAACCACATCTTTTAGATTTGAAGTAAAAATACTCTGGGGAAGTGCCTGTTTTGCAGTAGAGATAGGACTAAAACACCATTGCAGTTACGATGCAGTTATCTACTAGTAATAGCAGACTTTACTAAATAGTTAGGTTTTGAGCACTGAATAGCCTTCAAGTAATTACTGATATGAAGATTTCTTATAGGTATTACTATGGAAAACCAACTTTGATACTTTGGATGATGAAGTTCTCAAACACAATTTTAGAAGAACATATATTGATGATCCTCCTCACTTTCTTGATGTTTGCCCAAGGTCATATCATTTCCATGATGAAAAATGTAAGTCAGTTGAGGTGAGTGCAGTAAATTGTCTAATATAAGAAACAAGAAGCTTCTGTGAACACTGTCTGACATTTATAGTTAAATATGTTTTGTGTATACCAGGAAGCTTTTTATTGTTCTGTATAATAGTTTTGAAGCAACCATAATTTATGAATTCTCATGAGGGTTTCTAGGCAGGCTGATACTGGCAGGTTTATGCTGAAATTACTTTTATGCTTCTTCTGTGTCTATACATCTCATTCAAGCAAAACATACGTGATAATCTGGTTTCTGAAATAACTCTGCAAGTGTTGCAGTAGGTATCTGAATTTCCAACGAGCTTTACAATACTTATCGAAATACATCATTATAAGGAGGAAAAAGTGCTGATATTACTGAATGTCAAATACTTTCTTGTCACAAGCTGTCCCTCTTTCCAAGACCTTTAGGTATTGTGAGAAGGTCTTGATATCTATCTAAAAAACTTTCTAGGCTAGTAAGTGTGTTTTACAGTACTATGTATTCTGATTTTCTGGTATTTCATTCTTGAACTACTTTACTGTCAAACTATCTACTGGCATCCAATGAAAGTGTTGGAAATTAGGGGATCAAAGTGCAATGTTAAATGTTCTGTGTCAGTATTAGAAGAAATCTTGTGCTTGTCAAACAGTCTGAAGATTATGCTCAATAGGTAACCAATGCTATGCCTTCAATGAGGCCATTGTTTACACTTTCTTTGTGACAGTCTCTGATAGAGCTGGCTGGCTTCTGCATGGCGATTACCTATATTTTCTTCTCTTTCTTGATAGTCTCCAGGTTCCTCTAGTGTTGAAGAACTTACTTGAGATAAATCTAGAAATTTCTGATTGCTGTAATACGCTACCAGAGTACTATAGAAGTTCACTATTGCCTCGTTGCCTACATTGAAAATGTAGATACTGCTGCCATGGCATTTATTTCATACTCAGAGTATTAAAACATTGATATTTGGGGATATTGAGCTTTTTTGTGGGTGGGTGGGTGTTTTTTCAATATGAATACATGCAAATGGGTAGTATAAAGATTGAGAACATTTGCTGGGGGAAGAGAACTCTGACAAAATGAATGACAAAGATTTCTTCTGTGCCTGGTTCTATTGTCAGATGTGAGGCTTTCTAATGCTTAACATTTTGGTCAGAACAGGATGACTGCATCCTGTTCTGACCACAAGCTTCATAAGCAAACTTCCATGCTGCACTTAGGTATTTGTTGTAAAGTAAATGAATGAAGTTGAGTTTACTGGCACCAGCCTTCAGTATACTTGGTCAGTGCCAGAACAAACTCAATCACAGCATTTGCCAGCAGATTGAAGCCAGTCTTGCTGGAGCAACATTTTGCTTCAAGACCATTCAAACTGCACCAGTTATAATATGTACTAAACAAATACAGTGGCTTATAGCTAAGGGGTCTATTGTCTTCCTTTCAGGTCAACACTTCCAGACCTCTCTGCTGTTTACATGCCTGGCAAAGATGTGAATATACTCTAAACTAATTTCTCAAATTATTTTTTCTTGTTCCTGGTCCTGGGTAATTGAGAAGCTCTGGAAAAGCATTAATGAGTTCAGGCTAAGGTTAAACCAAGGCTAGGAAGCCTCATTATCAATACTGAAAAGGCTCATGAAGGAAATTCAGCAGTTGTTAAGAAATTATTTATTAGAAATTATTTATTATTATTTATTAGCTTTGACAGATTTAACTTAGCCTTATATCTGCATTTATTAATGGCTGCAGCACTTGTAGCAGCTGATAGGCTCCTAGGCTGCTCTGAAGCAGTGAAAGAGCTCTATAGCTTTATCATAGAAGTTTTGGACTCTTTGTGTTACATTTTCTGGCCTGATTTCAGGATTTTAACAAGAGTTTACTGTATTTAGTTTTCTATTAACATCATATTGTCACTAGAATATCTTTCTCTACGTAACATCAAGTATGTTATATTCTTTGAGACAAAACAGTGCCTGGCAGTTTCAATGAAACTCATTATTGTAATATAATATATTTTTATATTGTAAAATAAATGCTCTAGTAATAGTGATTAGAATTGCTTTTGCAGCTAATTTTTAGAAGTAATGTAATAATAATTGAGATGGTTTTAAGGTGAAATGATCAAATTTTCTCACTACATTTGTCTTGTTTTTATTTCTACTCCTGTCTGTCTCAACAAAAATGGTGGGATTTTTGTTGTGATGAGGAAGAATAGACCTCACCAACTGGACAAAAACATAATTTATACAGACAAAACTGGTATCAGGTTACTACCAGCAGTAACATGCTTTAGTTAGCATGCACTAATTCCTAGATAGGACTGTGCTTGAAATTTTTCAGTGTCAAATTTTCTTAACTATTTCCTCTTGTAACTAAGACAAGCATAATGTCTAGGCCCACTGTGCTGTTCTCTGGATAAGGAAAAAAAGAATTTTTGTCCTTCTTCAGTTAAAGCATTTTTTTTTTTTTTCACATGCCAATGTGTTTCTAAGCCAGAGGCAATAGAGAGAATTCTAGCATTAGGCTGTCCACTGCAATCCTACCCTCATCTTTCAATGGCTCATCATGTTTCTAATATATAAAGGAAAGGAGGAACGGAATCACAGGCATGTCAGAGGGAGCTTCTGGAGGTCATCTATTCTTCCTGTCAGTGCTACATCAGTTCGCCTGTGTTTGGTTAGAGAGTCTTGAAGAGGCTTGGAGATTCCTCTATCTCTCTGTGTGATCTATTCCATTATGGCATAGCAGTTGTAATGACAATTTTTCCTATTATCTCATCTACACTTCAGATAATATGCACAGCTGTTTCCTTTCTTGTTATTTTCTTCCTTTCTTTTCATATTTCTATGTGAACAGGGTAAGATAATTGATCTTAGTCAAACAGAAGTAGCAGTATTCAAAGAGGCTTGGTAACATATAAAGGAGTTACAGGCAGGCAGAGGAAGCAGTTTGGAGGTGGGATTTTTAAAAGTATGAATTACTGCTTAAGGTTTGCTACGTCACTACAATATTATCTAAATGCTTGAGATGTGTTATAATTCATTGTGTTGAGTTATGCTCATCTGGTTAAGTTTAGTCACCTCTACAACAGTACTGAAGAGGGATTACCTTAGGATAAAATTAAAGGTGTTAAAATACAAAAAGTTCAACAGATGGACAGGCAGAACTCAAGAGGAAAGTAATTTTCCCTCTATTTTTTAAAATTCCTGATGTTTCACACTTTTATTGCTTTTGGTTAGCTATTGCCTCTCTATCCCTGCTTGTCTCAGTGTGGCAAAGTCCCTGTAATTACAGAACTTGATTCTGAGGGAATAGTATACACAAAAATAGAGCTGGCTTAGAATTTATTCATCTGGGATCAGAGGCACAGTTGCCATGTTTTCACACATCACCTGTTGGAAATGCTGTTTTGAATAAAGCAGATGGCACAAGGGTGTTAAGAATTGCAGGTGTCATCTGGTGTTTTGCCTTCAGGATAGTGACAGAAAGATAAAGCTTGAGTGTATTTTGCCTTTTCTGATTACTTTTTCTTATTCACTCTTCAAAGCTATACATTGAACCAGGAATATTTCAGATACCTTCCCTATTTTATTTTCACTCTACCTAGCTATTTTTGAGGCATAATTAACTTTTACAAGAAAATCATTAGTTTTGTCTTCTCCTCAGTCCAGTAGCCTGAATTTTAATACAGTGTTGAATTTCATGTTCTTGAGTTGTAAAACTTTATAACTGTTCTCCAACTGCACTCAATGTGATTCTTGAATATTTGAGTAAGTAGAGTTTTACTGCTTATAATAATTTAAATTTTTCAGACAACTTGGAAATGTAAATAAATTATTTGTTTTCTAAAGGCGCCTATTTTTTTCTGCTGGTCACAGAGGTAATCTTAGGTGATTACCAGCTCAAATGCAGGTGTCTAGCAGTATGTCTAAATTTAGGTGAGATAAATCCCAGTTGTTGTCTCTTTTTGACATAAGGACCTTGTGGAGCTATTTGAAAATAGTAGTTTAATCAGTTATGCCATTTTAGTGAAATATACTAAAAACTACATTCCACTTGGTGATAATTGTATTTCTGAATTTGCCATGTTTGTATATAATCGACCTTTCATGTGCTAAAGACTTCTTTAAAAAGATTAATTTCTTTCAAAACAGCTTTGAGGTTTGAACATATTAAGGTGCATAGAGTTTACCTCTTCTGATTTAATTTAATCTTAAAATTTTCAGTGTATTTTCAGTTGTAAATATTTTCTCAGATGAAGGAAATTCAATTATACACTAGGTGGCAGTAGGAAAAAAGATTATATGGCTTGCTTGGCTTTAGGGCCCCAGTTTAGAACAAAGAACAGTGTTTAATCAAAATGAGAGCTAATTTTCTCTTGTTGTGTTTGGAGAGACTATTTCACAAGTAGCTAAATCACTTTCCTATATAAATACTTTATGAGTAATTTAAAACTTCCTCTTTTAATTTTATTAACTTTATTTTTCTAATTCATGGAAGATTCTGTAGAAACCTTCTATTCAAATATATTTTATTGTATTATGGATCAAAAGGTGCTAATTGTATTATCATGTCAGAAAATTATAATGAAAATATTTATGTATCAGTTTACCAGGAAATTAATGCAAAGCTTTGAAAAAGTGTTTTTGCAAACCTGTAATATGTGACAATACTCCCTGCCTTGCATTTTAGTGCTCTGGTTTTTCTGTCTTGTTTCTTAAAGTTAAGTCTTTTCAAAGACTTAACTTTAAGAAACAAGACAGAAAACCTTGAAGATTTCCCTTGGTAAGATTATTTTACAGCTAGACTACATCACCTTGTCAGGAAATGTCAAGTAATTTGAAACTTCTACACCTAGCTTAATTCTATTACCTCATTCATTTTTAGTGCAATATTAAACACTAATATTTGTATGAAGGACTTAGATACAGCCTTTATATTTTTGTGCATTTTTAAACACCTTTTAGATGTTATTTCTGACTAGTTGCTTAATAATTTTATATTTAATTATTTTAGTTCCTCCACCCCCAGTCATTGTTTACAGTAGTCCTCATCCTCCCTTTATCACTGGTAAAGCAATAAGCAGAAGTATATATACTCAGAGGAACTTTCATTCTAGCTTCAGGATGTGACACTTGTATGAAAAGAACATTTTTTGAAACTTAATAATACCATGTATTTATTTACCAACATGTATCAAGAATTTAACTCATTCTGCAATATCTCCGATGTATGCAATAAAGAGATACTATCTCAAAGATGTTTCAAGAGCTATTTGCGATAATACTGCAGTAGAATACTCCATGTTAGAATACTGATAGGTAGTAGGCATCTACTGTCCCTCTTCTGCAAAGTCCTGCAGATGCATTGTCCTCTCTTCCATGCCCAAACAATGCATGTCAGAAAATGACTTCAGTCTTACCTGCCCCTATTATGATTGGCACTTGGATAATACATTAATGATATTTATTGTAGGGCTGACAATGTCAGAAGCAACTGACACTGATTATCCTGGGCACTGAACAAATGTAAACGCTGTGGACAGTGGCCTGTGTAATCTCAGTAGACATAATATGTATAGAGGCAAAACAGTAAAATTTGCAGTTCCTCTCCTGCTCACCTTAGCCGTGAAAAAGTGGTAAGCAATACTGTATTCAAAGGAGGTTTTCATTAATCATGTTTCTGCAGAAAAAATGCTAAAGGAGGAGTCCAGTTAAAATGGTAGAAGTTTCAGCTAAATAGAAGGGTATTACATAGACCATGTTACCTGGCTTTGGTTCTCCTCTCTCCCTTTCTTTCCTCCAAGTCTATTCAACAAAATTGGAAGAACGCAAGATGTGATCCTAATATCTACAAATGAGGGAGAATTTTAAGTGTTCAGCTTTTATGACCATGTAGTTGAATGGCTTTTCTTAAAGATTGTCCCTGTGTCCCTGCCCATTCTTGACTGATACACTTGTAATTGGAGGACAGAAAAAAAAAGAACATAGATGAAGAATAAATGGCTTATTGAAACTGAATAAAAGAAATAAGCATTGCTACTCAGAGAAGTGAACAAACTTTAAGATCTCACCTTAAGGAAGATTTGTCATCTCTGATTTGTAAGTGCTGCAAAGTGTAAGAATCACTTTTACTTTAAATAATCAGGTAATATCTGTTTTTAAATATTTCTTTACCTTCTAGCTTGCTAGTAAACTGCATCCATCTTCTTCACTTATATTTACTGAGGGAGATCTTGTTTCTATTAATTTTTGCCTAGATTTCTACATGTAAGTTATGGAAATCTAAATAAACTGAATGGAAAGTCTTCAGGCAGTGCAAGGTGTTGCTGCGCTCCTTCCCTGGCTATTAATTTCAGATGTAAGATTGTATTCTAGCTACTCAACAAACATGTCTCTAACTTAAAGGTCCTTATACCAATGTATGGACCCTAGCATCAGGGATTTTTCCTTGTGGAAATAGCACTGAAGCAGTTACTGAGTGAACAGCTCTGGCTGAGCTGAGGTTTTGACAGTCTTCAGGTGAAATAGTAGGATCTCTCTCTTGAGAAGTCAAAATAAAATGACCCTTGTAGCTAAGAAACTTTCAGTGACTAAACTCTGTTACTAGGCAAGTGAGTTTTGGTGGTTCTGAGATATTTTTTCTGCTTGCAATAAGGTGGTTGGAATTAATACTGTCTCTGGATTACTGATGCTACTGCCAAACTCTTGATTTGAAAGTCATCTCTAGTCTTTCTGTAAATTATGCCAGTTCATAAAATAATAAGAATAGTACTTCCATGCATCACACTGAGAAAGCAAACATCTTAGGCTGTGATACACCTAGATAATATAATGGTAGGGATAATATGCACACAAATTTTTATAGGGAGGTTATTCTGATCCTTAGGCAAAACCATAAGATAAAAGCAGTAGCTTTCTCAAATTTCATATTCTCTGGTACTTTTTTAATGCTTCACTTTCTCAGGAAAGGACATTAGCAAAATATTGCTAAAGTTATAGATTAACTTCTTCAGCCAAAAATAAGCAAGTAGTAACTGTGAAATTAAGAGCACAATTGCAGATACTATGACGACATTTCTGTCATCTATCATTCTATCTGATCAATCAGCCACTGTCCCATTATAAAGCAGTTTTTCCTGTGGTTTCAGGAGCAACATCTTTTTGTCTTTGATCTGTTACCATATCACAGATTTCAGTGTTACCTACTACTTATTTTCCACGGAAGTGCTTTCAAATTTATTTTGACAATCAGAGTTGGTACAGAAGAAGTAAGCATATCGACAGTCTGTTAGTAATGGATGACTTAATGAACTTGAATAGGGTTTGGGAACTAATTGATCTGGACTGCTAAGTGTGTTCTCACTTTTTATTTCAGTCTTATTTCCTTTTCTCTGTTGGTGCTGAAATAATGATATAATTCATTTTCAACAGGTCAACCCTATCTTTGATGTGCCTGATATACAAACACCTGATCCTGTTATCATCGATATTAGAACGTCTTCATATATCAGTACTCCTGTAAGTTGCTTTAAAAAAAAAAAAAAGAAAAAAAAATAGAAAAAGGGTAAGGTATAGCTAACATGTTCCAGAAATGTGCTTTTACTGTCCCTAAGAATGAAATAGATTTCTTAGCAATTGTTGAGTGCTCAAAGCTCAATATCCTAAATTCTCAACTTAAACCTTCTGTCACAGTTCCCAAGTCTAACCAGAAGATGGTGTAATAGCAAAGCTTTCCTTTTATGCCTGCAATTTTCCCACTATACTAAGCACAAATTCTATTTATAATTAGTGTTAAAATTTATGGCTTATTCTCAAACACTTTTTGTAACTGTCTTCATCTGCAAATAATGGTAAACCTAAAGAATCATTGTCTCACTGATGCAATTCTAAAAGCGATGTTTTATTATTTCTCCTTTTAAGGCATTTAATAGTTCCCTAGAAGGAAAAAAAGGAAGTAATGCATTTTAAGACAGTGATAGGATTAGAGTCTTCTAGTGTTGGCTTTACATATGACATTGGTATGACGTGTGGGAGGAGAGGAAGGCAATGTTTTAGGTGGCAGTTTCGTGGGAGGAGAAATATGCTTTCCTGGTAGGAAATCTAAAAGACATGCTGTTCCAGAATTAGGTTAAAATGAGAATTTTTCTTTTAGCTCTGAGTCTGTTCCTGTGAAGGCACAAACTGTCTTGAGCAATTTTAGTTACCATAAAATGTTTGTGTGGTTGAGGGGTTAATACCTAGGAAAAGGCAGCAGGTGTGTTGTCTGATGTTCTATTTTGTCATGAATGCTTTGTGAAAGCTATGTTGTGAAGTTACTATATAGAATTCTTCAAGATCATCTTTGAAGACCATGATGTACAGGTTGATGAGAAACCTTAACTTCAAAACAATAATCATTTAATCACTTATATTTGAGAGGTGATAATGTTATGTATTTAAAGATTTATCAGTTGTGTCATGTCTTCATAATGAGAATATGGTTCTTTGTAGACTTACATGCATCTGTTTAGTAGGCTTCACAGTGGATTATGGTAGATAAAATTTATTGACTACTTATCACTTTTAAGTACTCTGTGTTTATTACTTAATCTGTTCATCACAGAGTTCAAATGTATGGTTGCACTGTAATTCTTTATTACATACCTACAAATCACTTAGTCTCCATTAATTCTTCTGCTATGAATGCAGCTTATAAAACTTTATGCCCAGAACTCAGAGGAGTACATTGATCCAAGAAGTATAGCATTTTTTGACTGCTGTCTGGCTGACTTTACAATCTTCAATATAAAAATGTTGCCTCAGAATTTATGCTTTTTGACTGTGTCAGTAATCACTATTTTTTTTCCCCCAGCATCTCAATCTACCAGTTATCATTGGTTCTCACAACTGTTGCATTTCAGCATTCCCCATCTGGGTCTTTTTCCATCTAGAAACATTTCTATAACCTTGTTACTTGGACTGTAGCATTAAGGGCAGCTGTCCTGTTCAACACAGGTTAACCCTAACCCTGCCACACTGTTCACACAAATTCAGGAATCATTTGCATGTTTTCTTTGCCAGTAATATCCTTCCTCTCCTGTAGTGAAATAACACTTTCTCCAACTTTGCCAAACCAATTTGGTCCTCCCTGCTTTCTATTGTCAGCTCATCCTTTATCATCTTCCTGTCCAGTGTCTGTCTGTTGCATAATCAGCTTCTGTCATTATCACCCATTTCTTAATCAGGCCAGCTACCTAGACTCCTTGTGTCTTGTTTCTAGAGGGTTCTAGATCTCAGTGACTTGGACCTTTTTATCTGAAGCTTTCTCAGTTTCCCTAATGTATGGAAACTCTGTCTAATAGACGTTTGATGTGTTCTTCATAAGAAACAAGGAGAAAAGCGCAGATGCTGCCTTTATTTCTATCACATCTTCACTGACAGATTTCCTCTTAATCCAGTTTGTCCTCAATTGAATGATACTGCTTTTGTGCATTATTTGTATTTTTTTTCCTTAGTCCTTTTTCAACTTGAGGTAGCCATCCTCTAGTTCTAGTCTAATTCATTGTCCTACTTCATACTTATCCCTGATTTCAGTCTCAATGGGTTGCTCTTTTTCTACTGGCTGTCAAAGACATCACTGTGCATTTTTTGTCCCTGCAACATTTCAAGACCCATTTTAAATCTGTTTATGCCTTTTTGGCATTACTTCGACTGAAAGAACGCTATTCAAATAACAAAAATCTTTGATCAGATTGTTTGGTTAATTTACATGTGTCCTATCTATACCTACTTATTCTTTTAAGGCTCTGCCTTAAGGAGTACTTCTGCCCTTCTGATATGTGCAGAGAAAAAAAAGCAGTCTGCATTTAGATGTCTTTATGCATTCTTGTTCAATGCGTTTATCATGCATGTAGCACAGCAGGATCTTAAGGGTTATTTACAAAACATGTTGGCAAGTCCCTACACCACTGGAAGTAGCTAATCAACCATATTTACTTTAATTTTTCTGCTAAAGGAGATACTTGAGACAGTGATCCACGAAAATGCAGGTCGTTAAATACAGACTTTCTTTGGGGTGGGTAACAACATTGAAGCTTTTTTAGTATATCTGATGAGTTTCTTAAAGCTCCTTGAAATGCCTTCAGGAAGGCTGGAAGTCTATGCAAAGCCTTGTAATTTTTTGTTGAATAACTACCAGCATTCCTGACAGTAAGTGGTTAAGTAGGTTTCTGTCTAGTCCAGAAGAAAGGAGAATAGGAGAAAGTGCTCTTCTTACTGAGAATCTTTTTCTTCAGCTGGAATTGTATGTTGTCCTATTCCTTTATGGGAAATACATTATTACTGTCCCTAAGATGATTTGTGAGAGAGCAAAATGGTTTTTCCTTGTTTTTCCTTCTGTAAAGATTTGTTAATAAAAGTGATATATACTATATGTGGAGAGGGATGTCTGGGGTCATTTCATCTAACCTTCTCCTTAAAGCAAGGCCAGCTTGGATCAGGTTCTTATAAGCCTCGTCCAGTTCATTTGTTAATAATGTGTAAGGATAGAGATTCCACCACCTTTCTGGGCAGCTTACTCTAGTATTTGGTTGATGAAAATATTTTTTTCCATAATATATAACTAGAATATTCTATGTTCTAGCATGTCTGTTGCCTTCAATTCATAGCAGTCCTCTAATATGTGTGTGTCTGTCTTCTTTCTATCTACCCATTAGATATCTGAGATGGCGGCAAGATCTCCCTGTATTTTTTCTTCCAGAGAATAAACCTGGTTCTCTGTCTTTTCTCCATATTGTGTTCCAGCCCCTTTGCTATCTTGTTCACTCTTGACTTGCTCCAGGATGTCAGTGTCTATCTGGGACCAAGAAGCCCAAAAGAGGACACACTACTCTAGATAATTAGGGTGCAGCAAAGTAGCACCATCATCTATTCTTGAGAAATCTGCCTAGAGAAGATTTTAAAAACAGATATTTAAAAATATAATGTTCTTGATTCTTTATTGTAAATTTAAAATAGATGTTTTCTTAGCAGTTCATTTATTTAGAGCTGTAGCTATCTAAGAAAATACTAGTATTCTCTTCCTCCTACTTCTCCTTTTTTCAAGGAATTTTAATTTATTGCTTCATCAAAACCAACAGTCTATCACAGCTTCCACACTTAAAATGCCTGCTTTTGTGTTCCTTTTTAAATTTAGTTGTATTTTCTTGCTTCAGAAGTTAAGCTGAGATAGGCAGATATAAACATTCTTATACGGATTTTGCTAAAAACACATTATTAAACTGCCTGAGTTGTAAACACCTTATCTTTTCAGCTTCTTTTCTAGCTTAGTACTAAAGCCAGTTGTTTTTAACATGGTGAAAAATCTTTTTTCATCTAAGGCTCATATTGATGCAACTTCTTTCGTAAACTCAGTGAAAAGAGTATGATTCTTGGGTCAGTGGAAAAATTTCAGTGAAATCTTCAGTATGGAGTTGCTTTCTTTTGGGCTACAATTACAAAACCATTAAGAATTCCTGTGTATTATTATGGTTAGGAAATAGCTTTGTATTTGATGATTCATTTATTCAGTTCTCCTGTGTATTATTGAAAGTTCTGTAAAAATTAGCTGTGAATGCCTAACAAACTGGTACTTGTGTAATGTCCTGACTTTTTCAATGATAAGAGTCCTCATATGCTGCAGTTACTAGAAATTAGGTGTGTTCTAGCCTTTTGCACTCTGAAAATATTCACTAATTAGGGTCAAATTTGGGGGCTGGGGGTGGTGCTTCTTTCTCCTTTCTATTTCATTAAGGACTCTGAAAGCATTACTACCTCTCTCCCACACCTACATGTGTCAAAGAACCTCACATTGCCTTTGTTTCTGAACTATTGAAAAGGAAAAATTGGAAGTTTTGTTTCTCTTTGGGGCTACTTCTTTCTGTTTCATCCTTCAATTTTAGTTTTTGCCATGAGGGAGGTTGAGTCTTTCCAATTCTGTAAGGCAATACACTAGTAACCTCCGGTCCCTGATAAGCTGTTGGAAACAAGGGAAAGTTGATGGTGTCTCTGTAGTTTTTACTGACAGAAGCAGGAAATCACTGTAGAGGCTCTCTAATGTTTCATCCCCTGACCTTGCTCATGTAAACAGGATTTGGAGGAAGCAAAGCAATGTGCTGTAATCTGGAAGTCAGAGTGTCTGCACTAGCTGGGAGATGTTTGCTGTTCTTTTCCAGTGCCATTTAACACTAAAAACAAGACATTCTTATTGTTCGTTTACAGTACAACTTCTGCAAAGTTAAGACTGGGTTAATTACTGAGTAAGGAAATATAAGATTGTTTCTGTTTGGAGCAAAAAGAACATACTAAGTTTTAAAATAGAAAGTTTATCTGTACTGCATTTGTAGGAGGTTTCTCAAGGCAAAAAGTAGAAGCATCTGTACTTTCAATTTGTTCAGTACACATCACTTTCAAAGTTTGTGTTTCAGGGTTTAGGTATTTTTAATATACTTTTCTCTGCCCTTGTTTTGAATTTTAAAAAATCTCCAAAAAACAACCAAGCT